TTGTTTGTACCATCTGCTAATGCAATCATGTGAAATTCGGATTTTTCTGTCAATGAGTTAATCGTCCTGGTACTGAACCAAATGGGATCAGAGATTTAAGACTGAGGAAGAAATGGTCTGCATTCAGTGAGGCAGTCTTGGAATCGGCCGTGCTTTGGGAGTAGTCTGTGAAGTCAACATGGGCCTCTGCCCCATCTGGTTTGGGCAGTAATAGCCTGTCAGCCCTCCTCAGCCTCTTAAACACACGTCCCCATCTCATTTTGTCCATCTCCCCTCACCTCAGAATTACATCGTGAAATCAAGCATGGAGTGACAATGTATCATAAGGTACTGAATTACGATGTCTTCTCCTCTGTGGGGAAGTTTTGTGTGAAGCAAAGCTTATTAAACATACTGCAATTGTTATTTCTTTTGCTTTTCAAATTGGAGTAGTGGACATATTTTACCTTTTGAACCCACTTAATGGCGATCCATAACTTCATTTGAAATATTGCCCAAGACTGTAACAAAAATAAGAGAAAGAAATCTTTCCCCCTTTCTTGTCTAGCCACACTAATCCTCCAGGGGAACTTAGAGCAAGCTCGATTTCTCTAACAAATGGAATACTGAGTGGTGCCGTTTAAAAAGGGTCACTACTGGGAGTGACAAACATGGAAATGATGGAATGACCCAGAGAGACAGCCAGAGCCCAGGAGTAGACGCGGCCGCTCGACTTTATTGGGTCAGGGATATGCACGCACCTCTGTCTAATTGGAAAGCCAGGGAAATGGCAGACCTTGGCTTTGCTGGTGGGGACACACACTGGAAATGCTTTACTGCAAAGTGACTGTAACCCTGTAAAACGTTTAACACGGAAGAGACAGCGGGAATGGCTCAGAGAAAAAGAACTAAGATTCTCGCCATTGGGCTCCCCCAGCCTTGACAAGGTTGACAACTGTATTTTTTAAGAAGTGTGATGGATTCAGATGACTTCCGAAAGTTTTATCTTAAAAAAAAAAAAAACAATAATAAAGCAGTAAAAGTGTCTCCTCAGAAAAATGCCTGGGGAAATACATCACTGCCGTGGTATAGAAACGCATCAGAAACTGCCTGCAGATTGCCCAAAGAAAACAGAGCCAATTTTCTGAGAAGATTGAATAGGAAAAGTGAATGCACCCAGCTTTATTTAATGCCCATGAGTTCATGTGAGAATGTAATTAAGAATGGGAAGAGATGAGAGGCTGAACCCGGTTCTTTGTCGTTTCCTCAGAAGGTCGAGGTCTACTCCTTTTACCTGGATTCAAAATAGCAAGTGACAGTGTGTGTGTGTGTGTGTGTGTGTGTGCGTGTGTGTGCGTGGGGGGAGGGTTGTTGGGGGGGGTGTCCCACACACTTGACTCTGTACCAGAACATTCTCTCGTGTGGATTTTCATTTTTTACCCTCAAGGCAGATTGATGCGTGTTCTTAAAGAAAAGGCCTTCCTCTCCTTTTTGGTAGAGAGATTTATTAGTCTGTTCAATTGGCAAAGCAAAATTAAGCCTGCGCTTGGGCAGGAAATTTTTTATCATATCTATAATAGATATAAACACGACATTTGTTTTGCTGTAGTGAGATTTCTGATTTGAAATCCGAAAATCCTAGGGTGGTGTATGACTTTTATCATCAGGGAGGCCTTATCAAGGCCCTAGGGAAGTTTAAACACAGCGGCTCTCTCGGCTGATAGGGTAAACCCACCTGCGAAGGTGAAAACCTGTTGTATCCTCCTCCAGGGTGAGCTGGGGATGGAGATGATGGAGAAAGAACCTGTGCTTCGGTTTTGATTCCTCTTCTTGCCGGTGCTGAGACCTTTGGCAAGGGTGCAATTCCTCTGAGCCGTAGTTGCCGTGTGGTTAAAAACGTGAATGATGGAGTGGGCCTTCGAGGGGTGGGTTAGGATGACGTGAGGTGATACATGAAGAGGACATGGCTCAGTGCTCCCATGCAGGAAGGAGAAGCTATGGTTACCCCCTTGCTGGCAGCTAGTGCAGCGTCCTAAAGCTTCAAGTCATCCAGTAGAACGCACCGTGGCTATGAACCATTTCTCCATATTCTGATTGTGTCTGCATCTTCCTTACACATAGCACACTGAGCAATCCCCCCTGCTTTGCCTTTATTAAGGGTCCTTCCTCACTAATCAATGCATAAGTTTCTAGTCAGTGCCAATTAAAAAAAAGATTACCGGCTGCATCTTCACTTATTAAGTATTTCTTCACATGAGGTCAAGATTACTTGTCCCATAGATATTAACGGATTATAGAATAATGGCCCAAAGTCTTGAGGTGGATCTCATGGGTAGCTAAATGTACAAAGAAAAAAGAGTGAAGAGATGGCTCAGTGGCTAAAGTACATTTTATACAAGTGTCAGGGCTGGAATTTGGGTCCCTGGACTGCATGTAAATGGCCTGTAGTTCCAACCTTAGTAGGAACAGACAGTAGATCCAGAGAGCAGACTAGTTAGCACCGACCACATCAGTGAGCTCTGAGTTTGATTGAGAATTCCTACCCCAGTGAATAAGGCAGAAGAGTGTTTGAGGACATACACTCACCGATGTGTGCCCACACACGAGTATCCATCCATCCATGCCGAGGGATGTCAGTGCATACTCATGCACAGCACAGCACACATGCATACATAAAATATGGAAAGAAATGAGGAAAAATAAACAAGGAAACAGGAAGAGTGGGGTTAGCAGGAAGACAAGCAGACAGTTCAAGGCCTCCTAGAGGGGATTGGCACACACCAGCATAGCAGAGATTTGAGAATTTCTGGGACACAGAACCCTGTTCCCCTTAACACTAAGTACCATGCTAATCAGTAACCCTTGGGGAACATACCACTACCCTTAGCTCAGAACTGGGAAAAAGAAATACCCGTACATGAAGATCAAATATTAGGTAATGGGGGGGGGGGGCGGGGATGAGAGAACTCACGGAAGAAAGTAGGGTTGATCCTCAGTGAGGCCAGGTGTGTATACTGCGGGCTGTGCCACTTCGAGAACATTTGTTCTTTCCCAACAGGTCTTTGCTGGTTTTGAAGTGGGAGGGTTATTTACCATGCTTTGGAGAAGAATGTCATGAAATAAATGTATTAGTTTTGTTCAAGTAGGGACACAATGCTCTTTGAGAAAGTGGGTGATCTTGAGAAGGCATGTGACAAAGCCCATGCCGATGAGGAGCTCTTCTCCTCGGTGAGGAATGTAGAGGGTTTGGTATCTGACCCTCAGGTCTCTGGACGGTAGCATGGTACAGAGACCCGGGCACTAGCCTCACTGGTCCTCTTATGGGCAATGTCACTGTGTGTAACAAAGTCTTCTGAGTCTGTGAAACATGACAGAAAAAACCATACCCAAATCCAACGATTTTCAAAGATTATAGTTACAAGCCACACTTACAGAAGGCTCCTCCCACTCCTCCTCCACCCCTTAGCCTGCCTCCCTTATTTTCATATCCCTCGATCAAAAGAGTTCCCACTTGAATACATACTGGGACAGGTTCCATGGAATTACAAAAGAATATCTGTCATTTCTACATTCAAGACTAACTCATTATCACTGAAAAACACTCTCATATTGTGTATGCATATTTAATATATTTTACAATGTAATATAGGATAGTTGTATGAAATAGCAATCTGCATATTGCTAGAGAATGAAGTTACGTTTTATTCTTTCTTTGAAGTCCCCAGCTGTACCAGGTGTGTTGTATGCAGTGTGTCTTATGAAATTAATGGAAACCGTCATGACACATGACCTAAACTCAGGCTTGTTTTATGCAACATAATATAGCCAATGTGATTTATTAACAGGACAGTTTTGCATAGCAGACATGCCAGGACAGAGTCAGGCTGAGATGTTTCAAGTCTGATGTTAAATTTCTTATGCTTCATGAATTGCCCTGTGCTTTATTTAACGTCAGCTGAGATGACATCGGAAAACACACTGACAAGACAGCCATCTTAGTGGCAGTCATTGTTTTATGCAGACCAATCTGGTATCACTCAAGAAACTTGAACCTGCTCAAGAAATTAACATAAATACTGGTTTATTCTAACTCGTATTTTTTTTTCCTCTGTTGCTTGTGTTTTTAACCCTCATGCCACATAAAGTAGAAAGCTAGGCTTTGTTTTTTCCTGACATATCACTAAGTGTGAAGCATTAATAGATGAGACCAGGATCAAGAAGAAAGCGGTGCATTCTGATGGGTGTTTATTTTATGAGGAGTAATGAACTTCAGTCTTTCTGTGCAGGCAAACACAAAAACAATAGCCATGGACATGGGATTCCTCTCTCTTTCTTGTACATGTTTGTTCCATTGACAAGGAGACCGATTGTGGGAGAGATACTTTTTCTACACTTAGATGAATGCACATCAGACAAAACGAGTGGGGGATGTTGAGTGTGTTTTGGAGTAGAGGTAGCAGAAATGGATGTGATCTGCTTTAGGGCGATCAGTCAAGTCCCTCTGCCATTCTTTTCTTCTGGAGCCTGTTTTCTGTATCCTTTTCTATTCTGACTACACGTTGGTACTCAAACCCACAATGTAGCATTTGCTTCTACATGATGTATTGGACTTTATGGATCAGAAAATATAATAACAGATTCCTGATTTATGTCTCCCAAATCTCTGAGGTATGGCAGAGTGAGTGTCTTAATTCTGGTTGCTGTAGTGTGAAGTATCATAGACAAAGACTGATAAGCAAGAATAACTCATTTCTCACAATTCTGGAAGTCAGGGAGGGACAAGGGTTCTGTTGTGATGAGGGCTCCTCCTGGGATGCAGATGAACTTCCCATTGTGTGCTGTGTTGCAGAAGGAGAGGTGGGTATCCTACTTGGAGGCTCTGCCCTCTGTCCTGACCTCCACCTCCCCAAACCATCACATTCAAGGATTCCATGTCAACTTTGGGTTTGGGGAAGGAGGCACATACATTCAATTCATGACAGGATCTGTGTGCAATCACTAAAAAGGATGTTCTCTTACAGGAGTGGAATTCGACCATAGAGAAGCTGAAGAGCCAGGCCCTGGAGATTCTTCTGTCGAAGGACTTCACAGACAAAGAACACCTCCAGCTCTCTAACCAGAAACTGAATCGGCTTCAAGAAGAGTTTGGTCGACTTATGGTGGATAGAAAGACCTGGTTAACTCTGGCAAATGACTTTTTCACCAGTGCCAATAAGGTCAGTGTGAGGTCAAGATGATCATCATAGGTACTTGGGCTATCTGATAAGAGACCCATTGTGTTAGCTGGTCAGAGCACATTGCAAAAGGCTAAATTCCATGTAGAATATCAAACTGATAGAAGTAGAAAAGAATTATAAGATCCTATTCTTGTTGTGGCTATTGGTTGTTTTTTAACACTAAGGGATTATGTTTTGATGTACATAGAGTTACTTTTAAAATCACTCCAAAGCTAGGTTTCATGACACACACTTGGGTGGCTGTGAGCTTGAGGCCAGCCTGGTCTGCATGTTCCAGGCCAGTTATATAGTGGGATCCTGTCGTAAAAACAAACAAACAAAAACCACAAATAAAAATAACCAACAACAAAGCAACTTTTAAAAGGTTTCCCTTTGGAGCTGTCATTGGTCTGTTTGTAGGAGACACTATTCTCCATGTTAAATTGTTTCTCCAAGAGATAAGGAAATATAAAATATATCAGGTTGAAAAGAAACCTTAACAGTGTTACCAAAACACCTTTTGTTTTCACTTTAAAGAGTAGTTCAGGCTGGCCTCCTCCTCCCATTTAGCTAAGGATGGCCCTGATCTGACCTCCCTGTGTCCACCTCCCTAGGGCTGGGGTTGCTGTCATGCATTACCAAACCAGTTAATATAGTGCTGGAGACTTGCGCACACTAAACGAGTACTCTAGCGCCTCTGGAATAGGTTTCCATCTCACCTTCTGCTACATGAGAAATAAGAAGTTCATCTGCACCCCAGGAGAGAGCCTTCATCACAACAGAAGCCTGGTCCCTTCAGGAGCTCAGGCTTCCAACCTCCAGAATCCTAAGTAATACCTTGCTACTGTTCATACACACAGGTGAGGTTCAGTGTGTGTGGCTGCTGCTGTTACTTGAAATGTTTCTGACCTTTGCCACAGTAGCATAGACCTCCAGATGTCTGCACTGGAATTATTTAAACAGTCAGATTCCAGCAATTAAAGGTAGACAAAGTAACAAGCACAGGACAAGGGAAGCTTCATACAAAGAGCTTTAAAATCGCAACACTGGTGCTGAGTGTTGTCAGCTACATGGTTACTTCATTGTGAAACTGTTTACTTACAAAAATCTTTTGAAAAGGTGAGTAGTGAAATTCTAACACAGAGAAGATTGCATTCTGGTAAGCCTATTAAGTACTCTTGATTAGCTGTGTGCTTTGGGGGTCTCACTGTTTTAACATAGGAAACAGATACAACATATAGCTGGAGATAATGAACAAAGTAGACGTCAATTGCTAGTTACTTTTTTCCTTAGCAGCCCAATTTTGAAGTTGTTTTGAGGTTGTAAAATTTCCATCACACCTTTGATCTACACACCGAGTGAGCTGTTGCCAAGTCAACTGTGAATGCAGCTCAGGGAAAGAGTAATAGAATGAGTTTCTATAAAGCAGTGCTTCTAATAGAAGCTGCGGAGCTCACAGCCTTGCAAAATGTAGACAATTCTCTCTCTCCCTTCCACCCTCCCTCTCTCCTTCCTTCCTCCCTCCTTCTCCCCTTCCCTCCCTTTCTTCCTCTTTTGTTCTCTCCCTCCCCCCCCCACTCTTCCTTGTTCTTCATTATTTGGGTTTCTCTGCATTCATTATTTGATACCTTCCCTTGGTTGTTTGTCATCTGACTTTATTCTCAGACCCTGGGGAAACTTGTAAAAGTTAAAATAGATGAACTGATGGAGGAGGAAGATAGGAAGGAGGAAGGAGAGGGAAAAGACAAGAGTGGATACTTTCTGAATCTCATATAATAATACAAATCTAGTCTAGAGAAGAGAACCCCAAAGAGTAGATTCCTAGATTCCCTCTCTCATCCCACAGCGTGCTAACTAGTCCCAGTATAAAGTTGGCTGGCGTTTGCCTGTGCTCTGACTTGTGGCCAGTGGTTCTCAGAAAGGTTTAGAGTTTGTTCTTTTTAAGGAAATTATTTCCAAATTAAAAACTAATAACCCAACGTGAAAGATGATGGATATGGGGGCAGGGCAGATGCCAGAGTTCGTAGAGTGGAAGGTGAATTATCACCAGTGCATTGTGTCCGTGTTAGTAAGGTAAAAATAAATGACAAATTCATATAGAGAGCAAATCTGTGTAGGCCGAGAGTCAAGCCCCTCCTACGACTTATCAGTGACATTTTTCCTTTTGACTCATATTTTGGATTCCCCAAATTAAAAAAAAAATCTTGCCATTTTATCTAATCTTGCCAGAAAACCCATAAATAAATCTCTGAAGGGCTGGTTTTAAAAATTATTATAGTATCAAGTCTTTAAAGTAATTTTCTGCCTAGAAAGGTATGTAAAACACACACCTTTAATCCCAGCAGTTGGGAGGCAGAGACAGGTGGATCTCTGTGAGTTGGAGGCCAACCTGGTCTACAGAGTGAATTCCAGGACAGCCAAGATTGTTAAACAGAGAAACCCTGTCTCAAAAATTTTTAAATAATGATGATGATGCTAATAATAATCATAATTTTCGCCGGGCGGTGGTGGTGCACGCCTTTAATCCCAGCACTCGGGAGGCAGAGGCAGGCGGATCTCTGTGAGTTCGAGGCCAGCCTGGTCTACAAGAGCTAGTTCCAGGACAGGAACCAAAAGCAACGGAGAAACCCTGTCTTGAAAAATCAAAAAAAAAAAATCACAATTTTCTAGGCTAGAATTTCTGTGTATAGTAGTAGGTGGGGTAGTTTTTAATTTACATCATCATTTTTTTCTGAGAAACACCATGTTTTCCCTTGGAAAACTCCCTGTGATGTGTCTGGAGGATGCTGGATTTCCTTGCTGTGAGCATTTGTATTTGTAGATGACACCATGCTCCACATACCAAGGACTCTTGGGGTTCACTGACTTTCAGGCTCACTTGCTGTCCTTTCATGGATGCTGGCAGAAGACACATGGTTTCTGAGTCAGCGCCGAATGAGGACTGCAGCAACGCACTAGCTGGGTGGCAGCAGGCAAACGAGCTCAGTATGGCTCAGTTCCAACATGGCCCACGTCTCCCCCGCAGAGTTAGCGGCGTGGAGAGGGGTACAGGCCCACGTCTCCCCCGCAGAGTTAGCGGCGTGGAGAGGGATACAGGCCCACGTCTCCCCCACAAATTTAACAACGTGAAGAGGGGTGTAGGCCCATGTCTCCCCCGCAGAGTTAGCGGGTGGAGAGGGGTACAGACACACGTCTCCCCCACAGAGTTAGCGGCGTGGAGAGGGGTACAGGCCCACGTCTCCCCCACAAATTTAACAACGTGAAGAGGGGTGCAGGCCCACGTCTCCCCCGCAGAGTTAGCGGCGTGGAGAGGGGTGTAGGCCCATGTCTCCCCCGCAGAGTTAGCGGGTGGAGAGGGGTACAGGCCCACGTCTCCCCCGCAGAGTTAGCGGCGTGGAGAGGGGTACAGGCCCACGTCTCCCCCGCAGAGTTAGCGGCGTGGAGAGGGGTACAGGCCCACGTCTCCCCCGCAGAGTTAGCGGCGTGGAGAGGGGTACAGACACACGTCTCCCCCACAGAGTTAGCAGCGTGGAGAGGGGTGTAGGCCCATGTCTCCCCCGCAGAGTTAGCGGGTGGAAAGGGGTACAGGCCCACATCTCCCCCACAGAGTTAGCGGCGTGGAGAGGGGTACAGGCCCACGTCTCCCCCGCAGAGTTAGCGGCGTGGAGAGGGGTACAGACACACGTCTCCCCCACAGAGTTAGCAGCGTGGAGAGGAACTCTCAACTCAGAGAATCTGTTGTTTTATAGCAAGCAGCAAGCCTACTCTTTTGTCTCTGGGGGTGACATCACCTCAAATGGGAAGATTGCTAGCTGTAGAACACACACTGAGATAGGTGTTCTGCTAAAGAGGTCAGGTCATCTATTCTTTGCTTACAAGAGACAGGTGTTAGAGATTGCACGTGCAAGATTGGCTGCTACTGTCACGGGGGCACAAAGAAGACCCTGCCTAAGGACAGCTCTTTCCTACAGACACCAATTCTGCTTCTGATATGAGAATTATTATCTCAGCAAACAAACTCATTGGCTGTTCTGCCTCATGTTCTGTCAAGTGCCTGCATGCTGTGGAGGCCAGAAAGGGCAGTCAGATACCTTTTAGCTGGAGTTACAAGTGTCTTTGACATGGGCACCTGGAGGCTCTGTTAAGAGCACAGGCTCTTAACCACCAATCCATGTCTCCGTTCCCTTGGATTCCTCTTTTTAGAAATCATTCTTTTCTCTAAGAAACAACTGGAATGGTGGCTTCCCACCAAACTTCTTTCACCCTGATAGTATGTTGCGTTTCTACTATTGACCTGTGTTGGATAGTTACTTGAGTAAAGCCAGCGGTAGATGTGGTCCCAGGTGCTAGACTCTCACGGGTGTTTATAAGACAGAGTGATATACTGTAGCAAAGTCATGGGGGTTAAGCCCAGTACTGAGGGGAGCCCTGAGCAGAGCCCGGCCAGGGCAAATGTGTCGAGATACCACTGAGTGCGCTTGGGAAGGTGACACACAGAGATTCAGAGTCAGGCAGCGTGGGAAATGTCGGCTAAGTCATTGCCTGAGGAGCACGGTAGAAGATCAGCATTAAGGGAGATACAGGAGAGGTAGCCAGGGGCACAGGGAGGCGTGTGGACACCATGGTCAGGAGTGTGTGTTTGTGTGTGTGATTGACAATATATAGTGTTTACTATGTATGTTATGCATTATCTACTAGTTGTTGCTATTATTTATCATTTGCTATATAATACAGAAGAAATAATTGAGAACTTGAAAAGAGATTATGATAAATCAAATCTCACCCCAGAAACTGATGAGGACATCTTCATTTACTCTACCTTCCTTCTGCCCCCGATAGAATAATTACTGTGCAGTTCAGAACCTTGTACTTTAAAGCTCAGAGATCAGACAGATTGTTTAAACCTCAGCAAATACTTAAGAAAGATGGCTAAGTTATTAGTACAGAAGTATTAAATATATGATGGAAAATATGGGCTGTTTTTAGTATACTTCATCGCA